GTCTTGATAAAGGAAAATATATGGTCGGGTAGTGAGGAGAGTGGCAGGAACGCCACGACCACTGCCACCGAGCCACCTTGAGACAGTACCACTTCGACACAAGTTGTCATAGACACTGTGCACGCAATTTCTCTGCATTGTGTAACAACAACGGAAAGCCTAATAACGTTGGCCTTTGAGAAATGCATCAGCGGGCTCGAATAACCCCTCCTTCTCAAAACCTCGTTCTACGCCTCCCAAAAGGCCTTGTTCGGATATATCTAATTCGATCATCGACAGTGATTTACTCGAGCCTCCCCGAGTCTGGCCAAGTTGGAATTTGGCATCGTCTGTCCGCAAAAGGCACTTTCGTCGACACTCGGATCTTGGATAATCTCTGACAAGAAGAGATTATGCTCCATTTTCATCTAGTACAAGTCGTGTGGGCCGAAAATCGCCCCTTGTGATGGTGCTAGGCGTCTATATCTCTCGAGGATATGAAAGGAGCCGATTATTTGGGCCAAAAACTCGACGTCAACATGAACGGTCAACTTAGACATTGGTCTATCGCTAAACGTACCTACTCGATGTGTAACGAGATCTCTCCACCTGCTTTGGCGATCCTCCTCACAATAGGCCAAACACCAATGGACGAATCCTGCCGTAAACTCCTCGAGGAACGTGTCTAGCGTACTCGAAAGTATTCTCGTCCTTCCTCATCTGTCACCCCATATGGAGAGGATCGCGAATTCGCGACCTCGCTGGAAACAACGACGAGAGTGGGATGCTACAACAAACCTCTTCACGGTGAGTCTGGTCACGTATCAAAACCAGAGTTATGGATTTTACATATTTTCCGCTCCGCTCTACCAGATGAAAGAATTTGACCAAAGGAGGGAGGGTCAATTCGTCACTTCACGAAAGAAAATACAATTTAAATTCGAAAAGCGGTGGTTTCCATCGATAAAATCCGTGACAGAGAAGACATGTGTAGTCAATCCGCGCCTGCTCAAGTTCCCTCCGAATGACTGACGCTCGATCCTTACATCCAGCTGGTGGCCCTTACATCATCAACCGCAAGTCCTCATCATACTCGTCGGAACTACACGACTCAAATCATTCACAAGCCACCTCAAGAAGATGAAACGGCTGTACTCCACCCTACAGGTTCGGTTGGAAAAGTCTGGTGATGTTGCGAGCCGGGTAAAGTACTTATTTCTCCGGCCAATATGGGCAGCGTCGGAGAATACAATGGTCGTGCTAATTCTGGTAGCGAGAGCTTGGGTCCTTTGACGGGCTGTGAAGGTGAGCACTAAATAATCTCTCCGGCGAGCGCAAGAGAGTTACGTGGCTGAGCCTCATCTGAATAGGCTTTGATTGAAAGGCTCGATACAGTATAACGGGTTCAAAGTGACGTTCGAGTGACATTGTGAAGCGCGACAGTATAACTATTGGTGTAGCTATCACCTGTTCAATAAACTTATTCTATACGAGACAACTGCCAAGATCCTACGCGAAAAATATGCAGGATAGCTAATTCTGATTGCCAAGGAAGACATTGGAAGGGAACGGGTTGATTTTTATGAGCGACTCCCCAGTGAGCTCCTCTGGTCATTGGATATGAACGGTAACTTTGACGATGAATGAAGGCAAGACAGAAAGAGACGTCCCTTGCTTCTACAGAGTGTAGCTTACCATGTCTTATGCATGTATCGGTTCTTTGGTGTGGCATTGTACTTGGTCCACCAAGAAAGCTGTAGAGAAGCACATTTCGTACGATTTGTGGAGTATTTAATTGACAAATTGAACTAGAAAAGAGTAGGTTATTGACTATGAATACCGTATCACATCTTCACAGGGCCATAATAAGGAGCCGACGATCCAAGCACACTTGAACGCAAACAGTAGCGGTGAAGAGAGAGATGCCCCTGTAAAGTGCCAAAGCAAAGTATGTTGTTAGCTCCTTTACATTCAACAAAGAGATGGTGGATTGATTTCCTGAGTACACAAGAGCCTACCGGAAATGTCGAAGTGTCCAATTCGCCAGATAATGCTTTGGCTTTGTTGTCATCTA